CCCCCCGTTCCCCAAGGCCAGGTCATCAGGGCCCTTGTGGGGAGGCCATTCAGGGTAGGTCAAGCTGATAAAGGGCAGATGCATCGAGGGGCCCTGTGTCTGCCCTGACCTCATTCCCTCTGAAGGGCTTGGGGAGCAGGGAGGGGAGGGGGCACATCTGGGACGGGCTGTGCAGACTGAAAGCAGCTGAGGACCCAAGCTCTCTGCTCTCCAGGGAGCTACTCCCTCTGTTAATGGCCTAGAATACACGTTGGCAAATCACTCCCCCTCCAGCCAAGCATTCTGCCAAAGGAGTGGGCAGCTGCTCTCGCTCAGCTTCTTGGGGCCATCCGCTTCACCTGAGGCAGAGCCCTGGGCCTGAAACTCTTTTACCCCAACAGCTCTCCAGTCTTAGAGGAAAGAGCATAGGAAGTGAGATAACCTGGGCCTCCTCCCAGCTCTGCTTAACAACTCACTGGGTAACTCTGGTAAATCACCTTATCCAAGACTTGCCTGTCCCATGCATGGCTGTTGGGAACATCTGCCCAGCTCTATCATTCCCCATTGATCCCTTCCTTCTTCCAGGGCTAGGGCTGGAAGAGACTTAGAACACAGGAGGTCGGGGCCAGGAGGGGGCCTGGAACACAAATCAGGATTGGGGAGGGGGCTCAGAACACAGATAAGGGCTGGGAAGGGGCCTAGAACACAAATCAGAGCTGGGAGGGGGCCCAGAACACAGATCAGGGTTGGGGAGGGGGCTCAGAACATAGATCAGGGCTGGGAAGGGGCCTAGAACACAGATCAGGGCTGGGAAGGGGCCTAGAACACAGATCAGGGTTGGGGAGGAGGCTTAGAACATAGGTTAGGGTTGGGAAGAGGCTTAGAACACAAATCAGGGCTGGGAGGGGGCTCAGAACACAGATCAGAGCTGGGAGGAGGTCTAGAACACAGATTAGGGCTGGGAGGGGGCTTAGAACAGTAACTTTCAGAACAGAAGGCTTTAGAACAGAGAATGTCAGAGCTTGGAGAGCATCCAGTCTTAGCTCTTCTTTTACAGATGAGGAAACTGGCTCAGAGAGGGCACCTACTTTGCCAAGGTCACAGAGTGTTAGCGGCAGAGGGCAGGAAGGGAGCACCAGGCTCCTGGCTCCCAATCTGGGGGCTCTGTTCACTGACCATCAAGATGTCTACTCCCCGTGCCCCTTTTCATCCAAAAGTGTTACATGAAGAGTGTTTTGTGGGATCTTTCTTTAATCTGAGTAAAAATCTGGTCATCAGAATTTCTCACACATCCTGGTTCAGAAATTCAGTTGTCAGAGAATGCTGGGCTTGTTCTGGCAGGAAGACTGGTTCAAAGTTTTGAAGAAAATGCTTAATCCTCACAATGGAGGGATTGTGGTCATCTCACAAATACTCCCCAGCCTGGCCCCAGGCTGGAATGAGTGCCCCCTGCCCTTCAAGCTGCCTCTGATTCGCCAGGCCAACAGATCTATCCCAGTCACCCCCTTCCTCTGGGTCCTGTGTTGGCTGGGGGCTTGGGCTCCTACAAGGCAGGGCCAATGCCCTCCCCTGCCCCAGTGCCAGCCAAAGAATGACCCAGACCTGCAGGCTGACCAGAACACAAAATACCTGTGAGAATCTCCAAGCTTCAGGCTAACACTGAAGCCAGCTCTAATCCTTCCTCCCAAATCCTCTCTCCTCCAGGCTAAATATTCCCAGTTCCTTCAAATGATTCCTGCACAGCATGGACTCCAGGCCCCTCAAAACACAGGTCACTTCCTGTGGGCTTGCTCTGGGAACGGGTATGCCAGTATCCTTCCTAAAAGCCAGACTAGAAACAGTCCCCTAGCTACGGGCTTAGGCAGGGGAACTCTCATTCCCACATTCTCAACCCTATGCCCCTTAATAACTTAGTCTAAGCGCTCATGAGCTTTTTTGGTCTGCCATGGTATCTGAATGAATCAGACTGAGCTGCTGGAAGTCCACTGAGACTCCAAGATTGTTTTCACACAAGCCATCTGTCATCCAGAATCATGCCCAGCTCTAGGACCAGCCAGACACCATCAGCCCCCCGCTCAGAATCAAATGAGATATTTGTAATGCCCTTAGCACAGTGCCTGGCACATTGTGGGCGCTGGATAAATGTTTGTTCCTTCCCGCCCTCCTGCTTGACATAATGTTGGAAGAATTTCCTCCTCCCCCATGACAATAAGAGGATGGGCCAGGCTGGCATATGATCACATGGAGGGGGGGTAGCCTTTTTCTAGGGATTCACTCATTCCCACCATGATACACACACTGCTTTGACTTTGTAGACTGGGGTTTATTTCAAAATAGACTCTTTGTAAAATATGTGCATTCCATAGAAAAAGGTATAAAATCACCAACACTTTGGAAGGCTCTGGGAGGCTGGCTACTGCTCAGAGAGATGAGACAGAGGGTATCAAATATTAGAGCTGGAAAGGACCTTAGTCCAAACCCTTCATATTTTACAGATAGGGAAACTGAGGCCCAGAAAGGCAGCAGAAGATCCCTCCTGAGTTAGCAGAGCTGGGATGAGAACCCTGGTCTCCTCTAGTCAAAATCCAGCTCTGCGGCCCCTGTACCAGGCTTTCAAACCCCTTCCTCCTTAACTAAGAAGTTTCCCCCATTGCCGGAGAACTAGTCCCACCATCTCAGCCCACAGGACTCTGTCCTGTGCCTGAGAAAACCAAGGGATGATCTGAGAGAAACACAGACTTCTCCTAGGGCTGGGCACTGGTAGAAGCAGGTGAGTAAGCAGAGATAGAGAGAATGGAAAAGGGGAAGAATATCTGGAGAAAACTGGCCTGCCCCAGCCCAACAAACATGGACACGCAGAGCTGAGTTCCCTCAAGTGTATATTTTGTGTGTATACACACACATACACACACACACACACACATACACACACACTCTCTCACTGCTCAACAAGGAGGGTCTAGGGGCATGGAATCTGGATGGCACTTTGTGGATGATGGTCAGGAAAAAAAGGGGCAGAGGGAGAATTGTCCCAGATCTAGCCCTGCAGTGCTTACCCCATCAGAAGGGGGATGCAGGGCTGAAAAAAAGAGGGAAAAGTTTCTAAGCCAAGGCTTTAAAAACAAAAACTCCTCTTCTCCCCCAACAAGCCCCAGGTCCCACTGTCCTCCAGGCTCATGCATCAGAGAGAGGGGTCAAATTAGAATATTAAGGCAGGACAGGTTTCCGTCCTCGGAGCCCAAACCGTCCTCACCGTCCTCCCCTCCCTGCCCCCCAGCTCCGGGACAGGGGGGTAGAGGAAGGGCATTATGCAAAATGGCTGCCAGGGGTCAGCGGGTGATCCCCTCTATGGTCCAGCTGGTCCTGCAGCCGGGCAAACTCGGCCAGCTCGTTCAGCTCCTGGAACTGCCTGTCGGTCTTGTGGCTGACCAGCGAACGGTAAAAGTGGACCGCGAAGACGATGAAGACCAGGCCGAAAGGCACCATGATGGTGGTGGAGGCGATGGCCGCCTCCTGGCCGGGGGTGAAGCTGGCGTTGGAGGACGCGGCCGGGGGAGGGGCCTGGCTGGACTGGGGCTGCTCGGGCTGCTTCTTGAGGGGCAGGAACTTGACCCAGCAGAGCAGGACCACCTCAGCCAGGAAGAGCAGGGTGCCGATGACGGTGGAGAAGGCCCAGGCCAGCTCGATGTGCCGGTGCATGCGCTCGTGGGGCGACTCTTTGACCGAGTTGAGGTTGTGGACGTTGCTGACCGCCTCGATGTTGGGCAAGATGCAGGTGCTGATCATGAGCGCGAACAGGTGCACGGCCACCAGCACCGTGGTGCACGCGCTGAAGGCGATGAGCAGCCCCGGCGGGTAGTCGTGGCTGGCGTCCAGCTGCACCTCCACCATGGCCACCTGCGGGGACAGAGCTGGGTAAAGGGGGCCGGGGGGAGGCTCTGCTGAAGGGGGGGGCCGGGGGGGGGCCCGGGCGGGGGGGGGGGGGGGGGGACAGAGCCCGGCACCTAGAAATTGGAGCAACAGCTCACACGCACACAGCCTCCCTTTATTTAACCGTCAGGAGAACTCTTATTACCTCCATTTTAAAGAGGGCAAATTGAGCCTGGGAGAAATGATAGGATTTGCTGGCTAGTAGCTGGTATCAGAGGAGGAAAGGCCGATCTTAACTCCCACTCCTAGGCTCTAGCCACAAAACAGTTTCTACCCTCAGAGTGTTTACATGGGGGGCCCTGGGAGAATGCAAAACCATCCCAGTCCGGTGAGGGAGAAGCCCGAAGAACTGGGGGAAATCCTGGAAAGCTTCTTGTAGGAGGTGCCTTCAAGGGAGCCAGGGCATTTAGAGCTGGAAGGAGCCCTAAAAATCTAGTTTGATTTTCTTTTCCTGAGGAAACTGAGGCTGATTTGCCTGAAGTTAGAAGATGGTAACTGGCACGGCCAGGGTTTGAACCTGTGTCAGCTGACAGCCCCGATTCAGGGCTCTTTCCACTGGGAGTAAGAGTAGAGCAAATTGGAACCCACGTCTTCTGACTCCCCACCCACAGCTCTTCCCCTTCATCTGGTGCTGATATCTTTGGCACAATCTTATTTAAAGGTAACTGACTTCTTGGAAAGTTTTTTTTTTTTTTTTCCTTTCTGGGAAAGGGCTGATGATGTAATGGAAAAAAAAAAAGACACGGGTTTGAATCTGGCTCTGCCTGCTGACATTTGCTACCTGTGTGACCCTGACCCAGGCGCCCTCCCTTTCTGAGCTTCTCACCTGCAAAATGGGGTCAATAACACATCACATGAACAACTAGTTGTTTGTACAGCGTAAAGTGCTAGAGAAATGAATGGTTCTGGGCTATTTTGGCTGAAAAGCCTTGTCGGACATGTGGGAACTGTCCAAGGACTGGAAGGTCCCTCACAGGGAAGGGGGATGATGGGCTCTGTCCTCCTTGGCCTAGAGGGTTGAACTAGAGAGAAGAAATGAGAAGGAGCTTCCTGGCAGATTTAGGCTTGCTATCAGAGTGGTCCCAAAAGTGGAATGGGCTTGCCCAGGACTGAACTGCCCCTCACAGAAAGGCTTCAGGCAAAGGCGAGAGGTAGAGGACGCTTTACTAGCGATGAAGTCTAGCTCAGGTCGACAGGAAGAGACAGACTTTGGAGATTCCTTCCCACTCACAGGTGAGTAACACCCTCTGAGACTCTGTTTCCTCATCTGTTAAATGGGGATAACATACCTATAGTAAAGTGCTTCACAACCCTGACAATGCTATATAAATGTCCACCATTCGATATAAATGAATTTCCCTCCTCAGCAGCTATTGACAAAAATTCTATTGATTAGGGATAACACCCCAAGGCATCCCTGGTGTCACTGAAACTCACCCTGCAACAACCACTAACAAATAATCGGTAGTCCTCTATGTACAAAAAATATCGATATTAGCTCTTTTTGTAGAGGTAAAGGACTGGAAACTAAAGGGATGCCCATCTGCTGGGGAATGGCTGTTTAATTATGGTATGTGAATGTAAAAGAATGCTATCATAAGAAATACCAGTGATGGGGATGTTTCAGAGAAGCCCGAGAATAATAATGATAATAATAATAATTACTATGTTATATAATATACATAAAATATAGAATATAAACAAATATATATCCTATAAATACAATGAAACATCAATATAAATTATATTGACAAATATAATAATCACTAGTATTAAATATGAAGCACTTTACGAATATTAGCATTTGATCTTCACAACAACCTGGAAGGTAGATGTTGTTATTATCATTTTGTTGTTTTTATTCAGTCCTATCCGACTCTCCATTGACCCCATTTGAGGTTTTCTTGGCAAAGACACTGGAGTGGTTTGCCATTTCCTCCTCCAGCTCATTTTCCAGATGAGGAAACTGAGGCAATCAGGGTGAAGTGACTTGCCTGGCGTCACACAGCTAGACAACATCTAGATCTGAACTCAGTTCTGAGTTCGAGTCTTTCCCTCTGCCCACTTTGCTGGGAAAACTTGCATGAACTGATGCAGAGGGAAGTGAGGCATAGCAAACTATAGGAGAAACACTGAAATTCTGATTCTCAAGAACCAGTGATGGAGAACCTTCTCCATCCCCAGCCAGAGAAGGGACAGACTGGGACGTGGAACATGGCGGACGTTTTTGGACACAGTCAATGTGGGAATTGGCTTTGCTTGACTGTGCATATTTGTTACAAGGCTTTGTTTCTCTTCCTTTTTCCCAGGGGAGGGAAAGGGGGGAGACAGGGACGAAGATATTTGCTAATTTAAAAATATAACGTCCCAGTCAGCAGCGAGGTACTGAGGCCCGTGGCTCTGCTCTCAATCGCTGAATGGGGATTGCTTCATCCTCGGTCCTTACCGAGGATTACTCGGTCTCTCAGCACTTCCAGGCCCTTAACGCTTGTTGGTGGATTGACCGAAACTCAACAAGCACTTAAGTGTCTACAACATGACAGGCATGACAGGTGTCTGGCCCTAGAGATACAAAGGACAAGATCAGCCCTCCCCTCAAGAACCTTCCACTCTACTGGGGGGAGGAGGTAGCTGGCCTGGCTCTGGAGAAGCACCCCCTAACATGGTGCCCTGGCTCTTGGCAATGGGCCCCCAGCTGGCTCCAGGTCCTCCTTTGTCCTCCATAACCAGGAAGAGAAGAGAGAGGCTTCCGAGAACACCTACCCTCACCTACTGCCAGCAGCACAGGCCAGCAAAGGAAGTAACTGGACCAGCAGCAAACATGGCTCCGGGGGTTTTTCCACCAGGTCTCTAGTGGGGCTACAATTCCCCAAGACTGAGACAGATTGTCTTGCTTCCAGATTCTTGGAGTGAGGGAGGCACAAGAGGTTAGCAGGTGCATGCCCCACCCCACCCCACCCCACTCCTCCCCTGCCTTTCCCTTTCTCTGGGGCCTTTTAAAATACCCCTATCCAAAGCAGCCAGCTCAGCAGATCTGAGGTGTTATCTTGGGGCTGAATCTAGGCACAGCTCTGGGCAGGCATCTCAGGCTGAGTTGCTGTGGGTGGGGAGGGAAGGGAGAAAAGCAAGAGTGAGATGCGGGTTGGGGCCCTGAGATGAAAGATTCCAACCACAGAGGGCCCCTGCCAACCAGACACAGAATTATCAGTTGGAAGGGCCCTCGGTGGCCTCCAGGGATTCCTGGTCTATCAATGTTGATCAGGTCTGTTAGGGCACCTTGCCCCTCGCTGGTCCTGGTTCTACTCTCTGAGGCCAAGGACCCTCCTCCACATGTTAGCCCCTCCGACGACCGAAGAGCCTTCTCACAGCTCCCCCAAGCCTTCTCTTCTCCAGGCTCATCTCCCCAGCTCTTTGCACCGCTCCTTCCATGAGATGAGCTCAGGGCCCTCCACCGTCATGGTTTGTCCTCCTCTGGCCCCTCTCCAGATTATCAATGTCCTTCCTAAACCACCCAACACAAGACTCTGGGGAGAGGCTTGACCAGAGCAGGTCTGCAGAAGCGATTGCCCTCGTCTTTCTGGAAGACTGCACCCTACTACACCTTTCTCAGGCAAACTGTCGTCTAGCGATGTGCCCCTTTGAACATCATGGAACCCGAAGCTAAAAGGGACCTCAAAGACCATCAGGTGCAATTCCATCATTTTAAAGATCAACCCTCAAATGTTTATTAAATGTCTGTGTGCCAGACACCCAGTGAGGGGCTAGAGATAAAAAGAAAAAATAAAATGAACTAGTCGCTGTCCTCAAAGAGTTTATGTTCTACGGGAGGAAACCATGTGGAAACTGAGGATACCCCAGGGGTCACATAGGTAGTGAAAGGCAGAACTGGGATTGGAATCCAAGAATTCCAAATCAAGAATTTTAAGATCCAATGAGCTCTGGCCTGCGTCCTGTGCTTTGTAAACCGTTTGGCTTTGTAAACCATTTGGCGTAAGACAAATGTCATGTTTATTCCTAAAATCATCAGCTACAAGCCGGAGGCTTCCTGGTCTGCTCTGGAGGCCAGGATTGGGGGAGTGGAGAGGAGCTGACCAGCCCGGGGAGGCCACACCAATGGGAGATCAGACAGGGCTGTCCTGAGCCAGGGGCTCCGTTCTGAGCTCTCCTAGCTTGGCAGCGCAGCTGGCCTCCCCCTCCCTCCAGTCTGACCCTCCTGCACCTGCCTGGCCTGTGCAGAAAGAGGGAGAAGTGGGTCACACATGGAGGTGCCTAAAACCTCCCTCCTTCTTCCCCCTTTGTTTCCTCTTCCTGTCCCTGGCGGGGGGGGCTGGGCCGGCTGCCCTGGGCCCGCAAACTGACAAGGGCGTTAAGAATGTCCAGGGCGCCTGCTCTGAGCCAGCCCTGTGCGGAAGATAGACAGTCTTTCCAGAAGGGTCCACTGTGGCCCTCAGAGCAGACTTAGCAGTCTTTCATAGGCCTCTAGGCATTTCCCAGGTCAGTAAGGCATTGAAGAAAAGGCGGGCAATACTCTGAAAATAATGGTGTGAAAGGGATATCTCGGCCCCAGTTAAGGTCCTGCCTCCAGTGGAAGAGGCAACCTCAGAGCCTAGGGGAGTGGGTGGGGGGGGCATCACCATCCCAGACGGAACTGGGGTTCACACATACATATACGGCTAGAGCTAGAAGGGACCCCCTCTCTCATTTTACTGAGGAGGGAACTGAGGCTCAGGGAGGTGAAGTTATGAGTTCAAGGTCACAAAGCTAAAAGATGGTGCCTAAGGGCAGCTGATTGCAAGCTCCCTGCCCAATCCCATGCCAAATGAAGGAGCTGGTGACATGGGCCCCAAGAGGGGGGAAGTCTAGTCTGTCATGGCCACCCATACCACCATCCCCACCCAAACAGTGAGCAGAAGCACAGACTGCCCCAACACTCACTGGAAGGAAGAGGAGGAAAGTCATGGCTGCCT